AGGGGAGGTTTACGTTAGATATTAGGATGAGACTTTTTATGGAGAGAGTAGTCAGACACTGGAATGTGCTGCCCAGGGAGGGGGGGGATTCACCATCCCTGGGGCTTTGTAAGTGGATGTGGCACTTAGTGCCATGGTCTAGTAATGATGGTAGGGTTGGACTTGATGATATTTGAGGTCTTTTCCAACTCGGTTGGTTCTGTGATTCTGTGATTCTATGATGTCAGGATACTGCTTTCATTGAGAAGTAAACATCGGCTTTACTCCCATATTACTTATTTGGAGATTTAAAAACAGTAGATAAATGCAGTTTATCTTCTTTCAGGATGGAATTTCTCAGCACTCTGGTGTTCATTTATCAGCAGTTTACAATTTTACATTTGCAGTTGCCAGCTTTGCGAATCTAACAGAAATGCAGTAATTCTCTGGTGGTTGAACAAGTTGGATCAGCTCATCAAGTTGTAGGAGACAGACAAATGCCTATGGAAGCAGGTGGAACTCCATTAACAGGGGCACAGGAGGGATGGAAGAAGAGTAGTACCAAGTAATCCTTGTGTCACTACTGAACCATTAATGTGAACTGAGCTAGAACTTCTCAGTGCTCCTGTGCTGATAGCATCAAGCTGCAGTTCCACAAATCCCTCACTTCCCTTTTAGTGTGAATATTTAAGTGAAGCTTGTTAACCTTTTATGTCATATGTGATTGTTTTTTGTCTCTCTAGATTCTTATTCTCCATCAAAGAGTTACTGTGTGAAGTCTTTTCCTAGTAACTCAGAGACAGTATTTCATGATTGCTGATTTGAAGGGAGCATGCTTTTTGTGATATTTACAGATGTGCCACATTTTTAAGGTTTTTCAAAAGTGACTGCAGCACAGATGGCTTATTAGGTGAACACTGTCAACAGAGCCTTATCTGTGGAAAATACAACACAAAGCTGTACTAAGGAACCTGATATGGGATCGGATCTTGTGAATATACTCAATTTTTTGTCCTTCAGAGTGATGCTGGACTGACTGGCCGGAAGATCATTGTTGATACCTACGGAGGCTGGGGAGCCCATGGTGGAGGTGCCTTCTCTGGCAAAGATCCCTCCAAAGTTGATCGCTCTGCAGCATATGCAGCTCGCTGGGTTGCAAAATCTCTGGTGAAAGCTGGTCTCTGTAAAAGAGTATTAATCCAGGTAAGAGCAACCACAGAAGTAATACACCATAACAGAAATCCTGTCTCATGTGTGGTCACCCCCTGAACATACACTACCATCACAGCCTTGGTCCAGTTTCAGAAAATCATTTCTCATAGTAGAATGGGGCTCTAGGAAGCTTTAAGGAGCCTTATGAGCAAAGCCAAAGTCACAGACCAGGATGGTCCTGAAACAAGGAGTGTGTTCTCAGCAATGTTCTTTCTCCAACTCACTTGCCATCCCAGGTCTAGATACTTCTTTGCATCATCCTTGCTTTTAGCTCCAGCAGGTCTAGTGATGGACATACATGCATGCCCAGCACTTCTGTCTGGGCTGCACAGCACATTACAGTTATGATAGCACTGTCTAGATGTAGTTGTGCAACTTGCTGTACTATGTGTCATATTGGTTGTAACTTAATCTGCTTTTAATTACCTTAATGTTCCTGGTATACTTCTATGGTGTGAGCTGTGACTAAAAGCAAAATTCAGTTGTTTTAAAGAGCTTAAAAGAAGAACAACTTTCATTAGTCTCTTATGCTCAGAAGAGAAAAAAACCCACTTCCTTTCTTGTGCATGAACATTTGTGACTATTAAGTCTAGGAAGGAAAAAGAGGTGCTTTATTGACCCCTAGACAGTTTCACTATTAAACATGAACCCAATGTGACTGTTAAACAATAGGGTTTTTCCTAGGCAGTTGCAATATTAGTTTATATACAAACCTGTTCTATGTAGCTGCTTTGTAATAACTGATTACATAACTAATTTACTGAATAAGTAAAATGTAGCAGCAATCTAGCTGATGTTTAGCTGCTATGTGTGTGTGTTTAAAACCAGTTACTGTCTCCATGGACCAGAGGAGAGGCCCAGTGGATGTGGTTATGATCAATGACATATTATCTAGACATCCCAAATAGGAACAAGGCTGCTTCCTTTAGATGTGTATGGTACCTGATAGTTTGGAGTTAGTCAAGAACAGAGGAGACTGGGATTAAGCCAAGCACATATAAATTCTGGTTATCAAATTGTTGGTATTTTTTGTTTTTCTGAGGGAAGAGAAGATAAACATCTGATTTTTTGGTATGCACGCTTTGAGTGTAATTTTTGAACACCTACATCACTGTGTTTATTTTTGAGTTAGGTGGGAATGTTGTTATTCCAGTAATTCTCAGAGACCCTCCTTAAATACCTGAACCTGACTCTAGACAAGGCAAGATTGATTTTTTAACAGCAAATTATGGAGATCTCAGATACTGTCAATGAAGATAAGATGGGAGGATGTAGAACAGAAAAGCCAATGTCCTGTGAAGTTGTGGAAGGCTGAATTAAAGATTAACAACAGGAAATATATGTCAAGTGGAAATGCAAAATTGTTTCCAGCCAATTAGTACCAGTGTGCTACACTGAGACCTTGCAAGCCTCCACTGAGGCTGACAATTGAGCTGACTCTCCTATGGATATTGTTTCCATGATAACCACCTTTCATACTGAAAGGGCAAAATAGAGGGAACTGCAGTCTGATTAGCTGTATAGTATCACAATAATTATTATTTAGTGTTACATAGAATTGTCAGCTTATTGGTTAATGACAAACAGACTTACCATCATCACAAAATTAGCTAAGGGGAAGGTAGTACTGACTAGGACAGTTTCTAAAAAACCCAAATGAGTTCTTGGTTACTAAGAAGTATATAGATAGAACAGAGGCATCAGTTCTTGAAATCTGTAAAAAGCAGACCCAATGAGGAAGACCGGTGAAAGCCACAGAATTATTTTCATTGCTTGGTGACATTCAGTCAAAATATATTTTCATCCAAATAAACCATAATGGAAGAAAATTAAGTGTATGTTAGCCTATACTGCAGCAGGAGTGTATTTTGGAAAGGGGTGCAATGATAAAAGAAAATACATCTCAGGAGGAAATGTCAGTGCTGTGCTGTGCTGTGTTGTGGTGAAAAGAAGCTAGATTCTTGGATGTCAGAAAGGAGATATAGAGCTATACTTCCTGGGTTACTTTGTCTACTTTCCCTAGCTGTGTTTTAAAAAGTATGTGGAAATATTGGATGAAGTTCTAGGGAATGCATGGAAATAACTCACTCTGGAAAAACAAGTCTGTGAGTGCTTTTCCTCATCTTGTTCTAGATAATTTTTCCTCTTCCTCAGAAAAGATAAAAAACTAAACCCAAATAAAACCAAACCAGAAATATTTGTAGAATTCAGAGCCTCCAGTTTCAAAGGCATGAAATCCTTGTGTCTAGCTGAAGCTGAAGGATGAAGAATGCAGTGCCTGAGGATGATAGAAAGTATGTCTTTTGCTTTTAAGGAATGTCTTGTAGGTCTGATATTTGACCAGGCTGAACATTCTCTGAGGAAAGCATAATTTTGTAACATGAAAGACAAATAGCAAATCATATCTCCTAGCTTTCTTTATGGAGACCACATATTTATAAACTCTACCGTGATACACAGGGTAAGCCTTTCCTTTCTCTTAAGCAAAATGTAGAAAGGACTGTGTTAACTGTATCTGGGTTGTATTCATGTGTTCCACAGCTATCATACGCTATTGGTCTGAGTCATCCTCTTGCGGTCTCAGTGTTTCATTATGGAACATCAGACAGATCTGAAGAAGAATTGCTTGAAATTGTCCAGAAAAATTTTGATCTACGCCTTGGAGCTATCATAAGGTCTGTGTGCTGTTAGTATTTACTGAACAGAATCATATCTTTAATGCTCTCTTTAACAGTTTAAAGTTTCTGGCTCATAACTGCAAGAAAGTCACGTTCATCATAAATCTCCAGCTGGTATAATTTCTGCTCTTCCCCCATCGATGCACCCAGGACAAAAGGGCCAGTTGATAAATTTGGTCACAAAATGCACTAAGTAAGACCTGCCTGAATTACACCATGTATGTCTACCAGTAACCCTGGCAGTGTGCTAGGTTGCAGTTCAGTAGTCAGATGGTAGTGTTCTTGGTAAAGCAGAAATAAAATGTAACATTAGATGTAGTTAGGCTTTCCAGTCTGTTTACGGGGTATGTCAGGCTCCAGATCTCTGCCTTATCTGCAAGGCGACAAAAACATTGGCTCATTCTAAAAGAAGTAGTGAGGTAAGTATGGTTTCTATGCCTTTGATGTTCAGGCGGCAACAATGTGAGCCAGCTGCCAGACAACGGAAAGATCTGGTGTTGTCACGTCACAAGCAATGCCACTGAAATCAGTGGAACGTTATGTGCTGTAATTTGCCCTTGCACGTGCACAGAAGCTATGTCACCCTCCTGCAATAGTGGCAGTACGGTGCCTGCTGCTTCTGTTCTGGGGATATTGGCCCAGAAGAGAAAAGAACACCCGAAAGTGGCTGCTTTCTTCATGTCTCGTAAATGTAACCTATTTTCTGCATCAGAAAAACTGAACACTAAATGCCTGTCTCTAGTTGTCATGCAGTCTTGTGCAGCCTGTTTGAAGTCAGCTAAACTTAATTCAAAAGGAATCCAGGTTTCTTAAATGCTGCCTTTAGATTTGGTAAGCCATTGAACTATTGTATGAATTTAAAAACCAGAGCAAGAATATTCATGAGCTGAACTGTCTTGAAGTGAAAATTCAGTTGTGATCAGAAGTGTCATTGAGGCTACCATGCAGCCAGAGAGGACACGAAAACCCAAACCTACTGATGTTGCCTCTCGCAGCCCACCCTTTCAGGAACATTTATGGACCTGAACAAGCAGGTCTTTTAGGCAAACATAATTCTTACACTTAGAAGTAAGCATGGGAATTACTCTTCTCTTTGAGAAAAGGAAGGGCTGGAGGAGAGAAGCAGATCAGCACCTGTCCTTACCAGCAGTTACCCACCTACATTCCAGTGAGCTGTAATTTGACTCCAGCACTTTTCCTTGACTTTCTCCCATTTGTGACTAGCTCATATGATTCATTATGTGAACTTTTAAGAGGTAAAGCTTCTTGCCTATTGGTAGTACAGCTTTCTAAGACATAAATGTACAGGTTCATCATCTCGGTCCTGAAAAACTTCCTAATCTCTTGGCTGATTTTCACCAAACTTGACAGACCGGACTTCTTAAAAGTTTCCTAAAATACGAAGCTAATGGAGAGAAACACTATCTCTTTCCTTTTTTAAGGGAACAGCCACACCATGAGTTCACCCCTTACTTTAAGTTCGTGAAATTGACATGGAAGCTCTAGCCTGAGATGGATACCAGCAAGAACTAGAGTCCATGCACAGACTCTGCCTCTTTGAGCAATGCAGGTCTTAAAACCTCTGGCCTAACATGCTAAAACATACATGTTAGCTATCACATCATTTGAGGAAAATGCTTTTAATGAGTCATTTCTGTTTTAAATCCAAAGGTATTAATATCACTCAAGTCTCCACATACTCAATAGAGCATATTTGACTTGGAGGGAAAAAATGTCAACATGTTAATGAATAGAAAGTCTCTTTTTTTCTCTTTAAAGGAAAGTTATTTCTGACAAGTTGTATCAATATTTTGCTGGTGTGGCCAGCCCTTTGCACTCCTTTTCAGAGTATGGAATATACATGCTGAGAGCAAAGCTGACATAACTTTGACAGTCTGAGATAATGCAAGGCATTGTTCTAACTTCTATTGATAGGCAATGTTTTCCAAACCTTATCAGTTCACGAATATAATCAAAACTTTTGTTTTTAGCTTTGTTGTTAGGGTAGTTAACTGCTAACAAAAAATTGTGTGGTGATTCCAAGACGCTTACCTTGATTCGGTGCGTTAAAAATTGCTGCATGTTAAAAATACACTGTCATAGTCCTGGAAGAGGTGAAGGCAGTAAGAAAGGAAGAAAGGAGGTGAAATCATAATCATCACTGAATGAATATCTCCTTGTTAAACATCACCTCACAATATCTGAAGTTCCGTAAATGGTGCTGGCTATCCACTTTAATCAACTATTCACTGATGTACTTCATGATGCCTTCCTTTTCATTCAGTCAGCACTCAAACTTCGATGACATTTGGCTTAGGATCAAGCACAAATGACTATAGCCATTGCAGCATGTGTTCATGTTGCACAAAACATTACTTGAAACAAGACTTAGCTGCTTGATGTCATAAATGTCCACTTAAGTGTGAGAATGTGTAACCTCTTCACCATCTGAAATGTATTGATTATCGTGTTAGTATTTGTACATCTTTCCTTACTTTGCCATTTCTCCACCAATTTCCTGTCTAGCAGTTTGCAGTATGAATTATCTATTTTAAATACACTTTCAAAGATAATTAAAGCAAGGTAACACCAAATAGACAAAAGCCCAAGGACATGAAAATGTTTCAGGCCTTTAATGAAATGAAGAGAAACTTCCGTGTAGATACCTGTAGCTAACCATTTAGCACAGCTGCAATCCACTGTATTATGCCGGCTAAAATGCACTAAGCATGACTTCATTACTTATCTAGTCATATTAAGCCCTATTCTAAATAGGGACTTTGTGCATCTACATAAACAGTTAAACCTCTACCATTACTTAGTCTACTAGATCATAATCTTTGGCAGTTTCTTTTGAGATCACTGTTGTCTTTTGGGCACAGTCGCACTAGATGTTTGTATTACATTTGAAATATAGAAAACACATTGACACTTGCACAGGTGTAGCTGAACCTTGTTCTGATTGTAATTCTTCTGCCTTGTAATGTTTATAAAGCTAACTGCATACTTATACTGCATATTGGAAGAAACCTGACTTTTTCTAGTCACTTTCAAACTAAAGCCATCAGCTCACTATCTTTCATTCTATAAACCTGGGGGGAGGGAAGGAAATGACATCTATGTTTTATGTCTTTCTTCCAGGAATGATACTGATTATCCCTCTGACGTGTATATATCATAATATACATTGGAGTAGAGTTAAAGTGAAGACTCAGTTTGGGTTTTTTTCTTTTTTTTTTCTTTTTTTTTTTGTTCATTTAGGGACCTGGATTTGAAGAAACCAATTTATCAAAAAACAGCATGCTATGGGCACTTTGGAAGAGAAGAATTTACATGGGAAAGGCCCAAAAAGCTTGTGTACTAAGCTTTTTAAAATGTTTCATGTTATTGACAGGTGGTTTGATAATCAGGTAAAATTTCAAGCAGTTCAAGAAAAGGCTGTATCTACTATTTTTAAAATTACATTCTGAGGTTAATAGATATACTGAAAATCATTTGTATTTAATTTCTGACTTTCACAGTGGTCTGACATTTTAAATTCATGCTGCTCTATCTAACATAGTCTTCAGCTTTGTCTTTGGTAATGTGTGAACATCTACGCCTGTGACTGTGATCCAGATATTAAGTGCACAGCCTGTTGCAGAAGCTGACATGATTCCTGTTCTTCCAGGGAAGCTCACTACTGCTTACCTGGTTAATTTTGCACTGAAGTGGCTGAAGTTGGTGAAGTAACTTAAAGACCTCCCTCTGAGAGGAAAGCAGAAGTAATATAAATTGCCAGAATTATTTAGGCCAGAACTTCCATGACCACACCTTTAGTTAAAGTCCTTCTAGTTTAAGCAAATCAGTAAAAATGCCCATTTCCAAACATTGGTCATTGTGACCCTAAATATACCTAGCTGTGAGGTAGCATTATCTGTTTGCTCTTAATATTACGGTTTTGTAGGCATAGCTGTAAAAAATTATGAACTCCTGTGTTGTAATTCTTTTATTCACTTATAGTTACTCCTTCTCCAACTTGAATTTTCCATGTCTGCATGAATTGTAATTGACTGTATAAATTTTCAATTATATTTAGTTTGGCCATTTCTGAAATTAAAAAAAAACCTGTAAAAAACACTTGAAGGGCATTACTTTCCTTTTACTTCTCTGGATGAAAGCATAAAATGGAGAGAGAAAATTCAAAATCATTTAGCCTTTCTTCCAGGACTAGAGAGGATGAAAAGGCTTGTATATGGAAAGTAGCAGTCTTGGGCTCTGGCCAAGCCCTGGTCCCAGTTGGTCAGAGGGGGGTACTGCCAGGTGTTATCTGCACAAAAAAATGCAGGTTATAAAATCTGGACTTGCAGTGACTTTGGACACCTCACCTATGAGTGTGTGCACTGTGTAGGACTTCCCAACTGCCAGGAAAGGCTCTCCAAATCCTCACTGCAACCAGGGGCTCCCCAGCCTGCTTCTTAATACTACACTGGTGTTATTCCTGATTTCGGTAACAATCCAGAGTATTAGGCTATACAATATTCAGCCAATACCAATAGCTATATGGATGAAAAATCTGTACCACACAAGTTACTTGGGTGTAACGTGGAGGTATTGGTGGCTATTTTGAAAACTATTTTCTTCAAATAGTGAATTTGAATGGGCACTTCCCAAAGCTGGTGATTATTGCTGGATTGTGTGAGGCAGAATTATGCCTAAATCTTTCAAAAGGGCACAGTTTCGCTCAAACCTAGACTGGCCAATTAGGAAAGAAAATGAATGGATAAAAGTGCCAGCTTAGCTGTGAAAGTGCCCTTCATATACTTCTGATCTCAGAAGAAATTGGGGTCTCTGCATGCAAAATGAAAATACTTGACTAAGGAAGGTCAAACCTCTTCTCTTTGCTTTGTCAGGATTAGCTTCATGACTCCTGCTTTCAGAGAGCATTTCAAGAGCAGTTGCATTAAAAACACAAACACTGAAGAAGTACTTAATCTTTCTTCTGAGATGTACTTCTGAAATAGATTTTCAGCTGTGCTGAACCTAATGAACCCTGTCTAGAACCACAGAGACATTATTATGTGTGCCATTTTCCTAGTTATATTTCGATTAAATGCTATATAGAGAAATGTAAGGCAGAATGCTAATTCATTACTATTTAATTAATTTAATCCCTAAGAAGCTGAAAGCAATTACTAGAATGGAAATTAAAGTGCATATCCTTACTACATGCTAATAGACAGAATGAACTTTCCATTTAATAATTCCCCAGCTTATGTCTCTGCCCTGCCTTGACCTTATGACACAAAAGGAAATCCCTTCTTTAGCACTTTCCCCACCCAAGATTTTTGGCCAGAATGACTCATGGCTCATTCCAGGTGAAGCTGTGGAAGGAAGAGGTCTGGATGAGAGTTAAAATGGGAAGGCTGGAGCAGAGCTTCTTCATCAGGAGCTCAACCACCATGCAGCAGTTTGATGTGGTGGTCAGAACTGCAAACCAGTAACAGATGGCACAATCTTGTTTTCCACTGCTTTTCAGCAGCAATTATGCCAACATTGGAAAAATGCAGCCTCTCAAGCTGCATAAATAAAAATAACACTTCTTCTGGCCAAGTACTCTTCAAAACTGGAGCATTTTACTGCACTTTTGTCTCAGCAATAAATAAAAAGGTGAGGCCCCCCAGTGCAGAGCCTTTTGGACAGCTGCACACGTTTCAAACTGCATCTCACTGAGTGATCTGCTTGACCTCTTGAGAATGGTCCTGGATATTTAAAAACATAGGTCAGTAAAATATTACCCAGGTATTCTTTTAAACTTTTTATGCAGAAAAACTGTTGCCTCATATTCCACCTATGACAGTCTTCCTTCAGGGCGTAAGAAAGCTGCTAAAATAAAATCTAGACCTTCAAATACAGAAGGATTGCTTCTGTAGTTCCTTACAGAAGTTCCAGTTCTTCTTCCAGTCACCTGTTATGAATGAGTCTTTGAAGGGGAACATGCAGGTGGATGATAGGACAGGGGGCAATGAGTGAAACAGTATGGTGTAGCAAGCCTAACTACCAGTGTTCACTTGTAAAAAAGAATTCCAGCATCAGCCTGAAAAAAATAATCAGAAAAGTCAGAAACCAAAACGGGACTGAAGGTAGGATGCTTCTGGAGGTAGGAGTCTGTTGTGGTCCCTGTTTGAGCGCCATTTGTTGGGAAAGGTGAAAGTTCCGCGTGGGGAAGCAAGCGGCCGACTCAGTGTGGGTGATACAGCAAGCTCCAACTTTATTGTCCAACAGGCTCTTTTTTATACAGTGCAGGACAGGCATACAATTATCAAT